ACACACACACACACACACACACACATATATATATAATATATATATATATATATATATATATATATATATTGTAGAAGACATATTTGACTCTCGAATGTTATGTTTGACATTATCTAAGTACGGCGACTGATGGAGAACACGTACCCATTTTCCTTGGTAAATAGTTCTCGGCGAAGTCTCTCGCAGTCAAGACTTTATAAAAAGGGTTATTGCAACGTGCTTTGTTACTAAGCTACCATGTATATCAAACCACTATCGTACATCCAATTCTTCGAATTCGTTAAAGTTGCAGACTGTGTGCTGTCCATCGCACGTCACGTCACATTAAAATAGACATCGATAATCGAACACTTCAAATTGTGAAGTCACGACGGAAAAGTAAAGAAAAAAAAACATACACACATCATAAATACGTACCGCCAAAACGGATCTATTTAAATACTATGTTGCTTCGCGACGAGAGGGGTTGCTCTTTATGACCAATAAAAGTTGTTCGACTGCGACAGCACTTGTGAAAAGTTATGCTAGGCCACAGCCACAGAGATTCTATCCAATAAAAATAGAACAACATCACAATAGTTTGAAAACGGAAGCGTATTGGGTTGTTTCTGATTGAAAAAAAGAGTTATAATGATTATGATTGATAGAAAAGTTGTATTACAATCAATTATAAGGCATTTTGGATATGTATTTATACATTTCTATTGGTGGAATGCTGTAGTATTACAATATATATTGGCGTAGCACGTAGGTATAATTCGCACTCCTTAATTGCTAGACTGGCAGTCGTATCCGGGAGTCAGACTGAGACTGCACAAAGACTTCAAGACGAGAAATCTAATCACTGATTTTATATCCTTATCAATTTAGATCTATCGGGAGTATATTCCACTGTATGTGCGAATATAATATCTAAATTTTGTAACCCCACCCACCACCCAAACAAAGTGAACATTTGGCAACTGCACAGCACAGCATAGGGACACTTTAGTATGCAATTGTAAACGATCTCCTACGCACGCAAACCACCATCGAAGCGTGCATCGACACCTTGAGGCATCCAATAACAGCTTTAAGCATATCCTTTTACCAGCCGCAACCTTGTCATCAGAACATCAAAACAGGCCTGCCGGGCATTGCACTATCTGACTGACAGAGTCAAATCATAGACTATAGCTGGAGATACGAGCTATATGCGATTATGACGAACTCAACTTATCAGAGGTATGTGTAGTATACTCAAACAGTGTCATGATAGTTTACTGATACCTAGAGAGCAGCATGTCCAGCTGGTATATTTCTATTTTTGCATTGCTTCGTTCCAATCTTGCATCGTATATACAACGGAATACAGGAATATATCTAATAGTATATAAATACATACATACACACACACACACACACACACACACACACAACAACA